GCCTACCCTTCACTATTCCCGTTCTCCGCTGAACAATTACAATCCTACGCTGCCACGCTCGCCGAGGATACTGCTCAGCGTTTGACGCAAATGACAGCGTAGTCCCTGCTGCCTCCTGCTGCGTACTGCTTTGTATATATACTGCTTCACTGATTCAATGAGGTCGACTGTGTTCGCAGAACGACTCCCACACCGCATCACAACGCCGAACCACCCAGCTCCAGGAGATGCCAAAGATGAGCACTGTTGAAGCAAAACGACTTCGCATTTCTTCTCACACTGCTGTTGCATGAATCTACACGCATCCACCTGCGCATCCATCCTTGGCATTAAAATGTCTGGAACGTAACAGTCCTGATGATCGCAACGAAGCCAAAATGGGTCAGTCACCGCCTCCGTACGTCCTGCAAAAAGCATTGCGCGACCGGAACGCCAGAGGAGGCTCCACCACAGCGCGGGAGTAGAAGGCACGTAGACACTACCTGCATATGCCGTCGAGGCCCGCGCATACGGCAAACCTATATCTCCCCCCAGCAGTGCGTATATTCCTATCAGCAGACGGAGCTGCGTGGAGTTTGCCCAGTGAGACAGGAGCAACTTCACTGCAAGTGGAAAACGATGCAGCTGGCTGCATGGAGCGCCAATGTTGAATTGCTTCTTGCCGGCAGGCCGGCGATAAGCAAAAATGTCCAGGGCTTCCGGCAATCGTCACTAGCCGGGGGCTTGCTTCCTGCCTTCCTTCGCTTACTATGTTGGAGTAATATGGTCACTTTGCTGTGGGGTGCCACGGTCGAACAAACGTAGTTTAAGGAATCTTGCCAAACCAGAACACCCGCTTGCATTTCGGACTCCCCTCTCTTTTGTGTTACCCACTCGCCACGCAATGAGCTAATGGGAGACTCTCTCGCGCATACGACGTCGGGACGCCGAACACCCAGCCGAAGTAGACACCTAAGAAAGGCACTGTTAAAGCATAAGGACCTCCCGTTTAACCTCTCGTTGCAACTAAATAGATCTGCACGCATAAACATCATCCATGCCAGGTGTCATACAACCTGAAATGTGATTGTATCCATAGCCGCGCAGGCGAAGCTGGTTTAAGATGAAGAAAGCGAACTAAGCGCAAGCACGATGAGTGCAAAGCGATGCAGCTGGCTGCAGAGTGCGTTCTCCTTTCGAGCCGCTTCTCGTTGGAAGGCCGACGGTAACCGAAAATGTTCAAGGGGTGCTTGAAATATCACGGGCAAGCAGACTGATGTAATGCTTCCAGCGTGTCCCGGACGACTGTGTTGGATCGACACGGACACTTCGCAGTGTCGAGCTCGAACAGCAGTCAGTGGCACATCCACAAGTTATCCGCCCTCCAAGCGCAAAACCGCTTGGTAACTAGCCAAACCATAAAAACGAGTTCAACTACAGGTTTTGACTTTTTGGTTCAGCCTAATAGCAGCGCATTGGCTACGGATCCCACGTTCCTTAGTGAAGACGAGATGAATCCTTGTACAATGCGCTACAGAAGCGCCGTCGGCCGTGTACTCTCCTCCGCTATTCCCCTCGTGTTCAGAACCCCTGCCACCATACTTCAGCTGGCGCGCAGTCAGCTGGTTCCGCTTGGCATCGGTTTAGAATTGCTCCCTGTCAAAGGGCTTACAACATGCGAATTTTCCCAGCGCATGAGAGACGTCACCCACGCGCGCAACAGTGGACCTTCCACATCGGGCCTGGGGCAACTTATCCCCACCACAACCTACGAAAACTTTTCACCCAAGGCACACAAGGCAACCAAACACAAATCACACTCACCAACTGCATTTACTCGAAAAGCATTTTGACACACCTCACCTAGCTGCAGTCCAGCATCCCACCACTCGCTGCACGTCAACTCAGGCATATTCATCCACACCAGACCTGCCCAGAGAACCGCCGCCCTCACTTCCCGCACTCCCCGCCCCTTGTACCAAAACGCGCATTCGCCGCTCCTCCATTCGATCACGCTAGCCAGATACTGCCCCACCAAATTTCTGTAACAGCTGGTTATGACAGAACCTGCCCGCCAAACGCAGAGGCGACGAACCACACCGCATTGAGACACCCCCAAAAACACACCCTCAGAATGGACAGCCTCCGCCAATCTCCTGAGTTGCGTAAACGCATCTCTCCAAACACAACACACAGCCGCATTCCTTTTCGCTCGAAGGGCAACGCATTATCCACGTACAACAACGAGTCCGCACACATCCGAGCTCCAGGCGTGTCTCACACTCGCTACCCAGGGTGCTTTCAGCATCCCCTGACCACCTTCATCTCTTCCACCACACCATGTGCATACTTCCTGCGACGCATAGCACGTTACTGCAACGGGCGAAGGCATAACTCCACTGCACATGTAGATA